ACAACCAAAGGGTTATCCCGCTGACTCCCAAAAACAATTCCATGTCCCACAGTACCCTTTAAGTACCGAAAGATCCACTTGACTGCTTCCCAATGTTGCTTACCAGGTTTAGACATGTACTTACAAACTTGACTAACAGCATGAGCTAAATCAGGACGAGTACATACCATCGCATACATCAAGCAGCCAACAGCATTAGAATACGGAACCTTTGCCATATCTTCAGCTTCCTTATCTGTCTTGGGGCACTGTTCTGATGAGAGCTTAAAGTGATTCGCCAATGGAGTGCTAACTGGTTTTGCGCTGCTCATCGCAAACCTTTCTAGCATTTTCTCAACATAACCCCGTTGAGATAGCCGCAGTTTCCTTGAGTCTCTGTCCCTGCAAATTTCCATTCCAAGAATTTTCTTTGCAGCACCTAAATCTTTCATATCAAATTCCTGACTCAATAAAGTTTTCAAACCGATAACATCATCCATGTTCTTCGCAGCAATCAACATATCATCAACATACAGTAATAGAAAAATAAAAGAACCATCATCAAGGCTCTTAACATAGACACAACAATCATACTCACATCGGTTGTAGCCAATCTTGATCATATAGGAGTCAAACCGTTTATACCACTGTCTCGGAGACTGTTTTAACCCGTACAAAGATTTCTTCAATCTGCAAACTAAATGCTCGTTTCCAGGTTGAGTGAAACCTTCAGGTTGCCGCATGTAGATCTGCTCCTCTAAATCACCATGCAAAAAAGCAGTTTTAACATCCATCTGCTCTAAATGCAAATCCCAACTAGCCACCAATGCAAGTACTGCTCGGATTGAAGTGTGCCTGACCACAGGAGAAAAGATTTCATCATAATCAACTCCTTTCTGCTGTGAAAAACCCTTCGCTACCAAACGAGCCTTGAACTTCTCCCCCTCTTTTTCTGTTACTGCTGGTTTCTTCTTATACACCCATTTGCAACCAATCAGCTTCTTACCCTCAGGAAGGGGAACTAACTCCCATGTGCGATTGTGATTCAAAGACTCCATCTCCTCAACCATGGCTGCCATCCACTTGTCGTTTTCCTGACTAGTAACGGCATCATGAAAAGTAACTGGATCATCACTGCTAACAGTAAGTGCAAAAGATACCAAGTCTTCAAAACCCAATCTGTTCGGAGGCTTTATATTCGTCCGTCTCACCCTGTCTCTGGCGAGACTATAATCCTGCAAATCATCCGTAGTGGAACCACCAGAAGTCGGTTGAGAAGTTTCTGGTTTCTCAACTGGAAACTGCTCGAAATCTACCACTGTCGTGTCTTGCTTCTGCTGCAACATAGACTGTTCATCAAAAACGACATCTCTACTAATCACAACTTTCTTCGCAACTGGATCCCAGAACTTGAATCCTTTGACACCTTTCTTGTAACCCAGAAAAATGCACTCCTTCGATTTTGCATCAAGTTTGGATCTCTCATCAGCAGGTACATGCACATAAGCAGGACAACCAAAAATCCGTAAGTTATCAAAACTAACATCATGACCAGTCCATACCTCTTCTGCAACTTTCCCAGCCAGCGATGCCCTTGGCGATCTGTTGATAAGGTAACACGCCATGTTAACAGCCTCAGCCCAGAAGTGTTTGGGAAGCCCCGCATTCAACCGCAAACATCTGGCTCTTTCATTCAACGACCTGTTCATTCGTTCCGCAACACCATTCTGTTGTGGTGTCTTGCGCACTGTAAAATGCCTCTGAATCCCATGCTCCTTACAGAATTGTAGGAACTGTGAATCTGTGTACTCCGTACCATTGTCAGACCGCAAACACTTGATTTTTCGTCCTGTTTGGTTTTCTACCTCAGCTTTCCACAGCTTGAACTTCTCAAAAACTTCAGATTTCTGTTTCAAAAAATACACCCAAACTTTCCGTGAAAAATCATCAATAAAAGTAACATAGTACCTAGATCCACCCAAAGACGATGTCGTGGAAGGCCCCCATACATCAGAATGCACATAATCAAGAATCCCTTGAGTTGTGTGCTTCGCAGTCTTGAAACGGACTTTAGTCTGTTTACCAAGAACACAATACTTGCAAAAATCGAGCTTACAGCTTTTGACACCATGCAACAAGTTTCTCTTGTGTAATTCTGCCATACCACGTTCACTAAGATGAGCAAGGCGCATATGCCACAATTTTGTCGTATCATCACAGGACTCAACAGAGTGAACTCCACCTGCAACGGTACTCCCTAACAATCTGTAGATATTCCCTGCAGTCATCTTGCCTTTCATCACAGTCAATGCTCCTTTAACAATCCGAATGGTTTCCCTATCCTCGTCAGCCTTAGGGATAAAACCATTCTTGTGCAAAGTGCCCAAGGAAATCAAATTCTTCTTCAAGTCTGGGATATGTCGAACACCACTCAACGTCCGAACGGAGCCATCGTGCATCTTAATTCTGACATCACCAATACCAACAATATTGCAACATCGATCATCACCCAAATAAACCGAACCAGAATTAACCGGCCTGTATGTCGAAAACCATTCCCTATTTGGCGTGATGTGATAAGAACATCCAGAATCAAGAATCCAAGCATCCGTCAATTGTGTCGTTGAAATAGAAAGCATATCACCCTCACTGCAATCAGAAGTATCATCCTCGACCACGTTCACAGACTTGGATGAGCCATCACGCTTCTCATCGGTCTGCTTTTTCAACTTCGGACAGTCTCGCTTCATATGTCCCGCCTCCTTGCACTTGTAACAGTGAATCGTCTTCTTATCCCTGGATTTGGATCTGGAATTCCGCTTCCCGGACCCTGCCTTCTCTGGCTTCCGTCCACGATCTCGATTACCCTTGACATATAAGCTATCGGCTTGAGAGCTTTCCCCTGCATTCTGCTTCCGCTGGTTGTGAGCCAACAAGGCTGCAGTAATCTCCTCAACGTTGATAGTCTCTTTCCCATATGTAAGAGTAGTCACCATGTGTTCGTAAGAGGAAGGCAACGAACACAACAGAATCATCGCTCTGTCTTCATCCTCAATTTTCACATCAAGCCGAGCCAGATCAGAAACGATTTGATTGAAGACATTCACGTGTTGCGCCAAATCGTGATCGTCCTGCATCTTCAGCCCATACAGCCGCTGCTTCAGATACAGTTTTGTCGTTAAGGATTTGGACATAAACTGACTTTCCAACTTCCTCCAAATTTCGTCTGGAGACGATAGATGCATGACGTGATACATGACCTCGTCCGCCAAGCATAATCGTATGGTTCCTGCCGCTCGCTGCTGCAATTCTTCCCAATCTTCCTCATCCATCGACGCCGGCTTTGTAGGTCGCAAAGCCTTCAAGATCCTTGCTGCGCCAATAGATCCTTCACCCTCGTTTGCCATAATCCGAAGTTACCCTGACCATCGAATTTCGCGACTTCGTATTTTGCTCCTGACATCTGATACCAATTGTTGACGAAAACGGGTAAAGTAAACGAAAGAACACGAGAATTTTACGAGGTTCGGCAATGTGCTTACGTCCTCGGTGCCTAGGCGGCGCTAGAAGTTTTATTCAATGATCTTTTAGGTCTAGGTTACATCTCTATTTATAATAGAAAACCCTGGTACATAATTACAAAATCAACCCTGTACCGTACCGCGGGGGCTGCGCCCCCACACCCCCAACCCACATAATTCGTAACCCCACAACGAGACTTTTTATGAGCCATACATAACATATTGTTTTTACTTACGATGTTACCATTTACCCCACACTACTTGCGACGAACTTTAGCCTCACAATCAAAGAGTACAACGAGAGAACCATCAGCAAATTTTCTCCAAACTTAAGGACAAGCCGGGAATTTCGTATAATAAATTTTTACTTTTCGCGTTCACGTCGTTGTGGAAAACCAAAAACACAAGAGGGAGACAAAAAAGGAAAGGAAAAAAAAACCAAAGCCAAAAACGAAGGCAAGGAAGGAGTTTTTCGTTAATGTTCGATGCTGTGATTCGTTTACGTTGCGCGAAAAGGCGAGGTTTAAACGTCTTCCATTGTATAGCTTTTCTCTTCTGCAATGGCGTTTTTCTTCATTGTAATCTATATTCTATTCCTTATTTCCGTCCTCACCTCTTCGTTTCATATCAAAACGAATTAAAAGGAAAACGAAGACGTTTTTGATAACGATTTATTTTTGCTGTTGCAGAGGAAATAAATAGATACATTCGGTACGATTAGAGAGAAACGAGCGAGAGGAACGAACTAGAGGGAAGAGCTTGGAGTGTGAACGTTTTGTTTTTTTTTTGGTTGATTAGAGGAAAATTTTAGATGGCGATTCGTTTCGAATTTTATCGTGGAAGGATCTAGGGTTTACTGGCTCCGCGTCGGATCTGAATCTAGCCTGAAGCAATGGTGAACATTTTGTTTTCCCGCGATTTCGTTTATATCTTCATGTTTATTTCTCATTTCCTGTTTTTTTTTGCATGTACCGTTTTTGTTCTGTTAATTTTAGATTCAGGTTCGTTTAGCTCCAGATGAATTTATCAACGTTTAGATTCCTGTTATTTTATTTTGTCAAACATCATTTATTTTTATGAGAAATATAGTTTCGTTCATGTAATTCCTATAACTCGAGCTGCATTTCTCTTTTGCTTTGCCGTTAATATTCTTGTGATTTTGTGATCCGTACCTTTTTTTGAAATCAATAGAAAAAAAGCTTTGTTAGTATTTACTTTATGCAATTCAATCAACAATATACCAGTCTTTTCTGAAGTAGCTGGCTTAGTAGAATTAATATTCACAACTTACACTGTTTTTTGTTGAGATCATGTTTTGTAGCTTGAATTTGTTATTCCAATGTCCCAAATTCAATGATTTCCGACTTGCTAATGCACGGATACTGTTCTACCTTTTTTCTGGTCCTACATATCTACTTTCATGATAAATACAATTTTGTTTCATTTTCATTGTTTGAGATGAGTCGATATTCTTTGAAATTGACATGCTTATGATTCAACATGGCTTCACAGCCTGCCCCATCCAGTATTATTGTTGGCTCTCATGTTTGGGTGGAGGACCCAGACGAAGCTTGGTTAGATGGGGAAGTGACGGAAGTTAAAGGGGATGATATTAAAATAAACAGCACATCAGGGAAGACGGTGAGTGCTTTTTCTCATGATTTTATGTGATTTGCCTTTTTGTTCCCCACCCCCACTCGATTGGTGTAGGCCAAAACAAAAATATTTTGGTTATGGCTTTTATTATCTAAATATGTTATATTTTCACCTAACAGCAGTTTACTTACAAGCCAAATGATTTACTTCTTGCGCGAAGGATTTATTTATTTTTTCACGCTTGGGATCAGGATTTGTGATTCATAAAACATGAATGTGTTTTAAACTGGAACTGAAGAATACGTGAACATGATATCACTGGCAGCCCTAGTTTAATGAACTTTGATGTATTTAAGTTATTACTTAATTTCCTTGATGAGATGGTTTTAATTATTTCTTGTTTTTGTTTTGGTCTTTCTTTGAATTCTTTTGACCTTTTGTGTGTACTTTGTATATCTTTCAATGGTAAATCAAAATTTCCTTAAATATTAACATGGTTCAAAACTTCAGCTAACAGTATTTTTCATCTATTCAAGATCTAATTTCATTCTCTATATATGCCAATCCGTAGTAGTTCTTTCCTTATGTAGTCATTGTTTGGGTGCATGAAATTGGAGTCTGAAAGGTTTGTGGTTTTTGTATTCCTTTCATGTTGTGTAGATTGTCGCCAAATCATCTAATGTCTATCCAAAGGACCCTGAATTTCCTTCATGCGGTGTTGATGATATGACGAAGCTAGCATATTTGCATGAACCTGGGGTTTTGCAGAATTTAAGATGCCGATATGATATCAATGAAATATATGTAAGTACCAACAGTGGATTTGCATTCTTATATTTGTTTATTATTGTTAGATATAGCTCCAAGTTGGCAGGGGTTGCTTGAATTAGCTGTTCCAGAACATATTTTTCGTTTTGTTTAATGTATTGCCATGTTATAGCAGTGGTTACTCAGATCATCTATTTTGCATCGTGATTCACTTAATGCAGTCCTTTGACTGTGGTTCATGATGACCGAGTGTGAATATGTTGCTTTAATTTTTTGTGTCTGTTTTTCAGAGTTATGTATTGTTGTCTTAAGCTAAATGCGCTGATGTTTATTTCAGACCTACACAGGAAACATTTTGATTGCTGTAAATCCTTTTCGAAGACTACCACATTTATACAGCAATCACATGATGGAACAATACAAAGGGGCAGCTTTTGGTGAGCTGAGCCCACATCCATTTGCTGTTGCAGATGCTGCCTATAGGTAGTGTGTTTATATGCTTCCCGTGTCGTAAAGTTCTTTTGCATTATTGATTTGCTCATTGATGTAATAAGTGTTATGAACAGAAATATGATCAATGAGAAAATAAGCCAAGCTATTTTGGTAAGTGGGGAAAGTGGAGCTGGAAAAACAGAGAGTACGAAGAGTCTTATGCGCTATCTAGCCTATATGGGAGGGAAAGCTAGCAAGACAGAAGAACGCTCTGTGGAGCAGAAGGTCTTGGAGGTAGTTTAAACTCAATTCATTTAGTTTTTCTATATGTGTAAGATTGATGAATTTGATGTTGCATTCTTGGTTGAGTGATTCCCATCTTCCTTCTTGAAAAATGAGGGTGCTTGAATAAAAAATATTATATTTTTCCTAATCTTGCTGTTCTTACATTTGTAGTCTAATCCTGTCCTGGAAGCATTTGGCAATGCGAAGACTGTCAGAAACAATAACTCAAGGTTCGAAATCTATAGAGATTAGAATTTTCCACATGCCTTGAGGTTTTTCCTGTAAAGTCTCTTGTTTTTAACTGATGAAAGACTTCCCCGGACTGACTGTGATATAATTGCAGTCGCTTCGGCAAGTTTGTGGAAATTCAATTTGATAAAAAGGGCCAAATTTCTGGAGCTGCAATAAGGACTTATTTGCTAGAACGATCTCGTGTTTGTCAAGTGTCTGATCCAGAGAGAAACTATCATTGCTTTTATATGCTATGTGCTGCACCGGCAGAGGTAATGGTGTCTCCGAATTTTCTGCATTTGACTTCACAGAGAAACCCATGTCTATGTTCTAATGCTAATTACGCCGGGGGGGAGTATTACTCTAGATCCATGTTGTTGCCCGTCATGATACTTCTTGTGATTTTCTAACATGAGAGCTTCATTTTTGCATATGTTGACTGGTTTTGTGTTACCGAAGAGGCATCTAATTCTCTTCTGTCCTTTTTTCTAATACATGTATCAGGATATTGAGAAGTACAAATTGGGAAATCCACGAACTTTTCATTATTTAAAACAGTCAAATTGTTATGATCTGGATGGCGTAGATGAATATAAGGAGTATCTCGCAACTAAGAGAGCTATGGATGTTGTCGGGATCAGTCCGGAAGAGCAGGTAATGCATTTTGATTATTATCTAGTTGTAATTATTTCACCTTTTTTCTCTCATTATAAATCTTTGCTATGTCAGGATGCAATATTCCGAGTTGTGGCTGCAATTCTTCATTTAGGAAATGTTGAGTTTGTAAAGGGTAAAGAAGTAGATTCTTCTCAACCTAAGGATGATAAATCTCGGTTCCATCTAAAAACCGCAGCAGAACTATTCAAGTAATTTGCTTTTGCTATTGTTATCCTTAAACATCCACGCCTTCATCCTTATATATAGATGTGAATGGAAAAACTCTAATGTGCCTCCGCCTCTTGTTTAGGTGTAATCTGAAGGCTCTTGAAGACTCTCTTGTTAAACGTGTTATGGTGACTCGTGATGAGAGCATTACAAAATCACTTGACCCTGATACAGCAGCTCTCAGCAGAGATGCTTTGGCAAAAATTGTTTATTCAAAATTGTTTGACTGGTAACTTTCAATTTACCTTATGGATTTACTCTGGAGACACACACACACTGATTCAACACATCCATCTAAAGTTAATTTTTAACATTTTGCACTTTGATTCCCCAGGCTTGTGGACAAGATAAATGTTTCTATCGGTCAGGATACTGCATCAGAATCGTTGATCGGTGTTCTGGATATTTATGGATTTGAGAGTTTCAAGACAAACAGGTGCTTAACCGGTATGCTTTAATTTTTTTCATTTACGAAACCAATTTATTGCATGACATCCCTCTATAACTTTCATGGCTGGGATGTCTTGCTCAGGAAATCCAATATTTCAAGGCCATAATGCGTGAAAGATCCCTTAATGGTTATGCTGGGTTTTGCTGATCAAATTTGGGGATACTATTACTCCTCTTTCTCGGCTAGAGTGATAACTAGTTTATAGTTTGTCTTCTTGGATTGGATGATTGCAGCATTAAATACATTTTAAAGCTAGTTCACCCCACATGTTTGTGGGTGTGTCAGTTTTTCTTGTTTTGCAGTGTGAATTCCTTAATCTGCGTCTGTCGATAAATAATTTTTTAAAGTTTCACTTTATGCAGTTTTGAGCAATTTTGCATCAATTTGACAAATGAAAAGCTGCAGCAACATTTTAATCAGGTTTATGCATTAGATTGATTCTAATGTATTTAGGATTTTTTTCAGCTTTTAAAGCTCCGATTAACATTACTGTGCTTGTCATTTACCAGCATGTTTTTAAGATGGAGCAGGAAGAATACAAGAAAGAAGAAATTGACTGGAGTTATATAGAATTTATTGATAATCAAGATATTCTTGATCTTATTGAAAAGGTGCATTGCATTTCTGTTTTACATTGTTGTTTTCATGACCTGTATCTCACTTTCTATAATGTGAAACACTCTGCCAATATACATGTGCAGACACATACACATACGCACATAGACAGATAAATGCTTAATCTTTCCTTCGTTGTTGGTTATTTATTAATTGCATCAGAAGCAACACTCCATCCATGTCAAATTGTTCGACGCTTCCCTTCTTTAACTTTCTTTTTAATCAAATATCTACATTGAAAGTAAAAGGTATCTGTAGATTTGGGAACAAAATTTTAAAGTTTCTTTTTTTAAAACTAAAATGAATTTAATTAATAATTATTTTTTTTAAAATCGTGATAGAGAGGATCTTTTTGAAACTGAGAAGGGGGATTAATTTTTCATGATGAGTAGTAGAAATTTTATGTACTAACTAATGTTTTCTTTTCTGCTTACAGAAACCTGGTGGCATCATAGCTCTTCTTGATGAGGCTTGGTAGGTATTAGAATAATAAAATGATAAATCAGCTCTTTTTATTTAAAAAAAAATTGGTTTCTTTTTCTTCAATCTCCCTGTGAAATTGTGACTATTACTCTTGTTAATATTAGTTTTTTATGCTTCAATTGCCCTTTGAAACTGTGACAATTATTCCTGTTATTTTCGTAGTATGTTTCCCAGATCAACACACGAGACATTTGCTCAAAAGCTTTATCAGACTTTTAAAGACAATAAACGCTTCAGTAAACCTAAGTTGTCACGCACTGACTTCACCATTTATCATTATGCTGGCGAGGTAAGTATTTTTACCATGTAAGGGCATCCATAGGAACCACATGCTAGAAGATAAACCTGCTGGAATATCTTTGTTACTCTCCACTGAATATAGATTATATATTGTATTTGGCTGTTCTTACTAGTCCTATACCTGTGGAATGTGTTGATGTCCAACTTGGAAAAGTGAATTAAACTTGACTAACAAACAGTTGAGATTAAACAAAGGTCCCATTTAGCTAATAATACTCAAATTACACATAAGAACCCTTGTTTAACAAGACCTAAATAACATGAGCTGTTGTGATTCTGAATCTACTTCTGCGAAATCTGCTTAACATTAACTTGAAGGAATTTGCACTCTAGGTTACTTACCAGACCGATCTCTTCCTGGATAAGAACAAGGATTATGTTGTTTCAGAGCACCAAGCTCTGCTGCATGCTTCAGAATGCTCTTTTATTTCAAGCTTGTTTCCTCCTCCACCTGAGGAAACTTCCAAATCATCAAAGTTCTCTTCAATAGGTTCCTCCTTCAAGGTCTGTTTCTGCTCTAGAGTCTAGTGTGTATGTTAAAGGTAGATTACATGCTTCATCTATTTTTGTTCATTTTCATTCATACCATGTGCTTTATACAGCAACAACTCCAAGCTTTGCTCGAGACTTTGAGTGCCACCGAACCACACTATATTCGTTGTGTGAAGCCAAATAATGATCTTAAGCCGGCAATATTTGAGAACAAAAATGTACTACAACAACTACGTTGCGGGGTAATTTTTGATATTTTGGTCAATCCTTGCTTTTGTTGATAAGTAGCCTGTCTGTATATCCACGTGTGATGGTTGTACTTGACTTCAGGGAGTGATGGAGGCAATTCGAATTAGTTGTGCTGGATTTCCCTCTCGAAAGACGTTTCGTGAATTTACAGCTCGGTTTTCCATATTGGCTCCAGAGATTCTCTCTAAGAGTAAGAGGTAATATTTCCAAAATCTGTTCTTGCAGTTAAAAATTATTACTTTTCTTTAGGTGTCCCTTTTATTCTTTATAATGTTACTAGAATCCTGGACTTATCTGTGAGGTGCATATATCTGTTTCTGTGTCCTTCAGTGGTAGCTACAATGAGGTCACTGCTAGCAAGAAGATTCTGGAGAAGAGTAATCTCACTGGTTATCAGGTGCTCCCAGTATTTATATATTTTATTAAAAATAACTTTGGGACTGTTCCTTTTCTTATTCCGTGTATTTCTTAAGTAGTTCATGCATGTCATTTATGTCCAAATCTCTTGCTTGCTGGCTGCTTGCATAAGTTTTGGCACGCAGTGCACTTTCATATTGCTGCTTTCACTATGCTCTTGTACCATTCAATATTGTACCTTACAGATTTGCTGCTTGCAGATCGGTAAAACGAAAGTTTTTCTCAGAGCTGGTCAGATGGCTGAACTAGATGCATTGCGAGCTGAGGTTTTAGCAAAAGCAGCGAGTCTAATACAGAGAAAAGTCCGAACGTTCTTGGCTCGTAAATACTATACATTGTTGAAGTTATCTTCCATACAAATTCAAGCCTTGTGTAGAGGTAAAGAGGAGATAGAATTGCTTGCCTATATCTACTGTCATAGTTATTCACTTCTATTTTTTATCCTGTTTGCAGGAGTAACGGCGCGCCATCTGTATGAGGAAATGAAAAGAGAAGCTGCTAGTGTGAAAATTCAAAAACATTCACGCAGGTTTCTTGCTAGGAAAGCCTACAAGAAATTATACTCCTCATCTATTTCTATTCAAACAGGTATGCGTGGGATGGTTGCTCGTAGCGAGCTTCTATTCAGAAGGCAGACAAAAGCTGCAACTATAATTCAGGTAAAAATAAAACTTTCTTTCAGTGGTTGACATATTAATAGGTACTAGCTTTCTTTCTGATTTCTTGTTTTAACCCTCTCTTCAACCATTTGTTAATGCATAATTTCCCCATAATATGGCAATCAGTGGGCTTTATAATAAGAATATGTCATTATTTCAAATTCTTGCTTCTTTGCTTAATCATTTAATTCTATTCTACCCACTCCCTAGCTGTAATTCTAAAGAGAAGCAATCTCCAGTGTGGTGTGCCCTAATCTGTAACCAGAAAGATTGTTCTCAAGTAGGTTCTAGGTTCAATTTTTACCTTTAAAAGAATGGGCAGTCTTGCTTTTGGGTTTTATCATAGGTGCGTTGATGCTGGTCTGTTCAGAAAAAGTAATAATACTCATTTTTTTTCATGTATTTTACAGACTCGATATCGACGCTTCATGGCCAGATGTTATTATAAAAGGTTAAAGAAAGCAGCAATTACCACACAATGTGCCTGGAGAGCAAGAGTTGCACGTAGAGAATTACGGAAGCTAAGAATGGTGATTTTTTCATTTCTCAAATTTGTTTAAGCTCGTGATTTTCTTTTGCATGGGTGTATTCTTGTATTTTTGTTTCAACAATAAATTCTTCATAAATGATAATATTCCCTAATGTGCTCCATGTTGCTATATGAATATTACTGTTATTTCTGCTGATCTTGATTGATTATATAACAATGAACGAATGTCGAGAATCAGTCCCTGCTACCAGCTACGTATTGAGAAATGGAATAATCATCTCCCTTTCTGCTTATGTTGCTTGCAACTGTTGAAGTTATCATCTTTTGTAGTCTCAATTTCTACAATTCCTTCCCAAGTATGTGTATGATTGTTTCAATTTATTGTTCCTCTGTCTGCAGGCCGCCAGGGAAACTGGTGCCCTCCAAGAAGCCAAAACTAAGCTGGAAAAGGAAGTTGAAGAACTCACATGGCGCTTGCAGCTAGAGAAACGAACCAGGGTAGAGCTTTTCTTGATAATAATATTATAAGTACACAGGTTTACAACAGTTCCAGCCATGTTGTCATAGAATTATCTGTCTATTCATTAACAACTTCAATATCCGTTTGGTATAAGCTGGTTGTCACCTCTGTTTGATTAGTCCATTTCTAACTTTCATTTGTGATTTCTCATAGCAAAACATGCTAGAAAGGATAAGAACCATTAGGAAAATTATATGTTGTCTTTTAAACTACATTCTAAGCTGTATGTGTTTTGATTTTTCCTAACTGATTTATGTATTAGGGCAGGTTGACCTTGAGGAATCCAAAAAACAGGAAAGTGCCAGGTTTGAATCTACTTTGAAGAAGATGCAACTTGAGTTTGAGGAATCCAAAAAACAGGAAAATGCAAGATTTGAATCTACTTTGCAGAAGATGCAACTTGAGTTTGAGGAATCCAAAAAACAGGAAAGTGCAAGGTATGAATCTACTTTGCAGAAGATGCAACTTGAGTTCGAGGAATCTAAAAAACAGGAAAGTGAAAGGTTTGAATCTACTATGCACAATAAGCAACTTGAGTTTGAGGAACTGCAAGTTGAGCTTCAGCAAACAAAGGAGTTACTAGAACAGGAAACTGAAAGGTTACAATCCACTTTGCAAAAGAAGGAACTTGAACTTAGGCAAGCAAAAGAGTTACTAGTCGAGGAAAGTTCAAGGTTTGAAGCTGCTTTGGAGAAGATGCAACTTGAGTTTGAGGGATCCAAAAGACAGGAATGTGCAAGGTATGAGTTTACTTTGCAGAATTTGGAACTTGAGCTTCTGCAAACAAAAGAGTTGCTAGAAAAGGAAAGTGCAAGGTTTGAATCTACTATGCATAAGAAGCAACTTGAGTTTCATGAACTACAACTTGAGCTTCAGCAATCAAAAGAGTTACTAGAAAAGGAAAGTTCAAGGTTTGAATCTACTATGCAGAAGAAGGAACTTGAGTTTCAGGAACTGCAACTTGAACTTCAGCAAACAAAAGAGTTACAAGAACAGGAAAGTGCAAGGTTTGAATCTACTATAAATGAAAAGCAACTTGAGTTTCAGGAACTGCAACTTCAGCTTCAGGAAACACAAGACTTGCTAGTTAAGGAACGTGAAGCTGCAAAGAACATTGCTGAACAAGTTCCCGCGATTAAGGAGATCCCAGCTGTCGACAATGAATTGATGAATAAACTTACTGCTGAAAATGAGCAGCTGAAGGTATTTTTTAGACATTTGTTGCTTCAAATAAGATATTAGGTTTGACTAAAGGCTTTCTTGATGTCATTTTTAAACTTGGTTGTTCTTCCTTTATGTTTCTTGAAATCTTGCTTGGCACAATGTCATTGTAGGTTCAGGAAACAAAGGAGTCACGAGGTGAGGAACCTGAAGCTGAAAAGAACATTGCTGAACAAGTTCCTACGGTTCAGGAGGACCCCATTATTGTCAACGAATTGATGAGTAAACCTACTGCTGAAAATGAGCAACTGAAGGTATTTTTATACATCTGTTGCTTCAAATAAGATCTTAGGTTTGATTAAAGGCTTTCTTGAAGTTATTTTTAAACTTGGTTATTCTTCCTTTATGTTTCTTGAAATCTTGTTTGGCACAATGCCATTGTAGGTTCAGGAAACAAAAGAGTTACTAGTTGAGGAACATGAAGCTTCAAAGAACATTGCTGAACAAGTTCCAGCAATTCAGGAGAACCCCGTTATTGGCAACGAATTGATGAATAAACCAACTGCTGAAAATGAGCAACTGAAGGTATTTTTATACATCTGTTGTTTCAAATAAGATCTTAGGTTTGATTAAAGGCTTTCTTGAAGTTATTTTTAAACTTGGTTATTCTTCCTTTATGTTTCTTGAAATCTTGTTTGGGACAATGCCATTGTAGGTTCAAGAAACAAAAGAGTTACTAGTTGAGGAACATGAAGCCACAAAAAGCATTGATGAACTAGTTCCTATGATTAAGGAGATCCCCGTTATTGACAGTGAATTGATGAAAGAAATTACTGCTGAAAATGAGAAGCTGAAGGTATTGTTAAACATTTGTTGCTTCAAATAAGATCTTAGGTTTGACTAAAGGCTTTCCTGATGTCATTTTTAAACTTTGTATTCTTCCTTTATGTTTCTTGAAATATTTTTTGGTACAATCCCATTGCAGGATCTGGTAAGTTCCTTGGAAGAGAAAATTAATGAAACAGAGAGAAAATATGAAGAAACAAACAAGCTTAGTGAAGAGCGGCTAAAGCAGGCTACGGAAGCAGAGTCGAAGATAATTGAGCTCAAAATTGAAGTGCAGAGGTTTATACCTATTTTGAAATTTGATAATGTTTGAAGTTTATATGTTATTCATGAATGTTTAGTTAATTGTATTCATTCTTTGACTGGGAAGTTGCTTTTCTTCTTCTGAATAAATTTTTACATCTTTAATAGGCTCGAAGAAAAGATTTTGGACATGGGAACTGGGGTCAAGAAATTGCAGAGTACACCTGCTAGAATAATGTCAGAGGTGCCATCTGCAGTGAAATATATCTTAACATGCTTTCCTTATTTTCCTTCAGTTGCTTTTTGGATTTTTCCTTATTGGACTTTATTTCACTTTGCAGTCTCGGGAAAATGGTCATCATGTAAGTGAATAATGTAGAGACTGAATAATTTCCTATCACTTCAGTTTATTAGATATATCTGCGCACTTTGTTCTTTGTTGCTTCTATGATCCTGAGATGGAAAGCTCTTTCTAACAGGCACAACTTGGTTCCGGTACATCAAAACAGTTTGGTAGGGATGATAGTAAAATGAAGAGATCCCAAACAGAAAAGCTTCAAGTATGAATTCTAATGATGTGGAATTGATTCTCCCTTTTCTTTTCTTTTTTTTCAAGTGTTTGTATCAGGTGAAATTTCTAGGGATTAATTTTTTTTGTATGTATCATCTTTGCAGCAGGAGAGTGTAGATGATCTGATCCAATGTGTGGCGCAGAATCTTGGGTTCAGTCAAGAAAAGCCAGTTGCAGCATTTACCATATACAAATGTCTTCTCCACTGGAAGTTATTTGAAGCTGAAAAGACGAGTGTTTTTGATCGTCTTATTGAGATGATTGGATCTGCACTAGTGGTATGTCTATTTCAGAAAGCTCATGTTTTTATAAGATAAAATCCTTGTCTTTAATATAAACCCCCCTTTTCTTGACGATACAGAGATTATGTTATGGTACTATTGTCTTTAATAAAAGCTATTGTTCTTTCAAGATAATGGTAATAATAAAAGCTATTATCGCAATCTTGATATTTTAGCTTGTTCAAGAATTACTCAAAAGCAGTTGGAGTATTCTCTTTGCTAGGGACTTATGCCAGATTAACTGATTCTTAAAATTTGTTTTTCTGATTGAGCAGATTTAAGCAACTGAAAAGATGAGGAAAATAAATCTAATATAATAATCATGATTCCATGTGATGATTTTCAGGATGAGGACAACACTGATCACATAGCTTATTGGCTGTCAAACACATCTTCATTGCTGTTTTTGCTTCAACGTACTTTGAAAGCCGTTGGAGCACAGAAACCACCTGCTGCAGCATCATTGTTTGCAAGGATGACCAAAGTATTGAGATATTTCATTTACTACGTCTTTAAATTGTTTGCATGAAATGGTCCCGATTTAAATATCTCTGAACTATCCTACAAAAGGAGGAAAGAACAAAACACATTAGTTCTTTATTTAAAATCTTGTCATACATTCATTATCAGTTTTGATGAATGATTCTATAACTCATGCAGGAAAATTATTTGATATAACGTTATTCTTTCTCAGAGTTTCCGTTCATCTTCTGCCAATCTTCAAGCTGGTATAGTGACCCAGGTTGAGGCCAAGTATCCAGCTCTTCTTTTTAAACAGCAGCTCTCCGCTTATGTAGAAAAGATCTACGGAATAGTTAGAGACAACCTGAAAAAGGAATTGTCACCTCTTATTTCTCGTTGTATTCAGGTACAAGGAGCTTCGCATTTGGATTGTCGTGTCTTTTCATGATATTTACTTTACTTTTAAAATCATGTTAGTTGCAATATGCTCGAGAAAGTATGGCGGTCTTTCTGATTCTTACTTTTAGAACGATCACCCTAGCTTCTATAGTACTTTGCACACAAGAAATTTTCCAGGTTGCTTCGTTTGAACTTGTAGATCATGTATGTTGTCTTGTTGACTGAAATTTATTGCTGTGTGTTAATTTCAAATCATGTGTTTCGTTTTAGGTTGCTCTTTACATGTGAAACTATCACAGGCTCCTCTCCTTTAACTTCTCTGCAATTTATTTTTTGATGCCTGCTTGGTTTGAAATTCTCGAAGCGAATGATTTATTGTTTGAGCATCGGAAAATTAATTATTATTTTAGAGAGAAACACATCTACTTGTTAAGCTTATTTCCCCCATTCTTTTACATATTTAGTCTCTACACGACAATATCATGTTCTGCACAAGTGCTTTGAATTGCTATTTCTGTATGTTTCTAATTCATCACCCTGCATGTCAGGTACCTAGGATGTCAAAAGGAGCTGCTTTTCCAACGTCCGAAGAACAGGGCTATACATCTCCAGCTAGTCACTGGAAGGCCATTATCGAGTGTCTGAACAGAATGATGAGCATATTAAAAGAAAACTTTGTATATAATTTGCAATTCTGATGGACTCTTTCTACCCCCCCCCCACCCCCTCCTCTTTTTTTGAGCCATGAACTTATGGTTATTGCACTTTTATTTCCAGGTGGCTCCAGTATTCGTGCAGAATATTTTCACTCAAACTTTTGAATATATTAACGTACAGCTCTTTAACAGGTAAACGGTTGTTTTGTCTGTTTTCCCTGTTAATCTTAGATAATATAATAAGAATCAATTTCAAAATCTGATGTTAAAATATTCTGCTACAGCCTTCTTCTCCGTCGAGAGTGCTGCACATTTAGCAACGGAGAGTATGTGAAGTCTGGCTTAGCTGAACTGGAAATCTGGTGTGCCGAAGCAGACCATGAGGTAATTTCTTTAGTTCCCACTAATGACTGTTGAAGGTGGCACTTTCACATTGTTTGAGGTAATTTCTAAATTTGAATTGAGAGTTGATGGTTGTTTAATTACAGTATGTCGGCCCCGCATGGGATGAACTCAAACGCACAAGGCAAGCTGTTGGGTTCTTGGTATGTTTCTTCTGGTTGTGGTTTAGGTTAGATCTTGACATGTTCAACTATTTGTGTTGAGCTCGTGCATGCGACTGTTTCATGGTTCATTTCTCTGTTTTGAAAAACCTGGTCTTGTCTTTCTCAGGTTATAAATCAGAAATCCAAAATGACCTACGAAGAAATAGCAAATGACCTTTGCAATGTAAATCTCTTTTCCATTCTTCTCGCAATTCTCTGAAATGTTTCGAGTTATGGTTTCTTCTTCCTCTTACATTGCTTGTTTTCACCAGGGCCTGAGCGTTCAACAACTCTATAGGGTATGCACGCTTTATAGGGACGACAAATACAACACTCAAAGTGTTTCACAAGATGTAAGTCATATCCTCAAATTGGTGGACATTTCTCTCTACCTGGTCTTCTTTTCATCGTTTCATTCGTACGGTATAACAAGACGACGCCTTTGTTCGCACAGGTCCTTTCCCGCATGAAACAACTTATGACCGATGAGTCCGACGATGGCAGCAACTCCTTCCTGTTGGAGGATGATCTGAGGTAATATAACAAAAACCAAAGTAAAAAAAAAAACAAAACAAGGAAGAGTATCGTTTTAGCTCCTCCGATATAGAATGTTAATCGATTAATCCCTTCTGAATGTAGCATTCCATTCACAATGGACGACATCCATAGTTCCCAACGAGTCAAAGAGTACGCACAAGTAAGAGCCGCCGAAGAACTTATGGAGGATCCAGCCTTCCAATTTTTACAGGATTAAGGTATCAGTTCTACCATCGCCATTATTTCTTTTCCGTGCACTGCAATTTTTACAGGATTAAGGTACCAGACTTCTAAATTTAGTGACAGTACCACACTGTAAAAATCCTGCAGCATTAATTACAAATGTTACAGTTCTTTGTAAACAACAGTTTTACCATTTCACTAGGGTTTTTTTTATAGGTAGTTGATTCTGGCCATTCCTCGTCAGCATTCATATTGTAGTGATGGTAGGAGAAGATGGAAATTCTTAATGTAGTGGAGAACTCCCAAGTCCCCAAATTTTGATCTTACACAAAATAACAAACTAGCAAATATTATATTTATTGCTATTGTTATTATTATTATCTCTCTAAATATTCTTTGTTATACTTTCTGCTGGGATTTTTTATTTTGTAGCGATGAGAAAGATTAGACTTTGATGATACGAATTAATTATCAGTTATAAAATGGAAATTGATTAATCGATGACATCATCTTAAGTGAATTTTTAAATAATAAAATAGATTAACATGAATTATATACAACCAACAACGAGTTGATCTAGTGAGATAATACATTAAGTCCCTTAAGCCCTTAAGCAATGTCAGAGGTTCGAATTATGCAATTTGCAAATGTAGCAAACTGGGTTGAGAGGGTCATCCTCGCCTCCGCAATATCCGATCTGGATTAGTCGGTTAATATGCAAACTAAAGATTTAATTATCTTTTCCAAGAACATGAGCCGATCATAAGTACCCTAAAAATATAACATGATACTTACAATATCAACTTGATCTTGAACTTTATAAGATGGTACCAACTCATAAATTTTAGTTAAAATATTAATTTGACCCTGAACTTCATGTAAAATATCAATTTAACTTTTGAATCTGATCAAAGTCCCTTACCTGCATGTCACCGTTCACTACGGTCGTTAGTCATCATCAACCATGCTATTGACGACCGTTTGATCCAAAATTTTCAATTAACGCGAATACAATATTAATTTCATCAAAAAAATATTTTAAACTCTACAAAACTGATAAATTATAATAACAAATTTATCATTAATATTCTTTTACAAATAAAACATTAAAAATTTAAGTCTATATTATAATAACAAATTAGGGTATAGTGTGGAATAGTTCCTCGACTATAAGGTGATGTTTCGTTGAGTCATTTGACTATTAAAAGTTGTAAAATGATCCTCCTATTAAAGGGTGTTGTTTTTTGAGTCTCATACTATTAAAAGTTATAAAATAATCATTCGACTAATTATTATGTTCCGAACTCAATTATTATTTTCTATACTCTTCTTTTTTCGTTAAAAAATTGACAACATTCTGAGCTGGGTGTTAACATGTTAACTGAGATATGATAAAATATGATCTAAGAATCTAAAAAAATATCATATCTCGATTAATAAGTTAACATCCAACTCAGACTGTTGTTAAATTATTAACGGAAAAGGAAGAGTTTGAAACATACTAAATAATCAACTGATCATTTTATAACTTTTAACAGTCAGAAACTCTATAAAATAACATTATATAATTAAAATTTATTTTATAACTTTTTAATAATGGAGAGTTTTAACAAAACATCACTTTAGTCGTGGGATTATTTGTGTGCTTCACCCAAGGAATTAATTCGAATAATTCGTTACCCAATAAAAGCCGATCATATTGGAGACTTCCACAGGCGACGTTCCTCGACTCGGCAACCCAAAATGAAATTCTAAAATCCCAAAATTTTTCTTCAGACCCGAAGTTTCACTCCGAAAAATCTCTTGGGAAAAAGAACAAAACCATGTGGCGAAACTCAACCACGTTAAGCTTCTCTTCGAAGCTTCTCTCTTCTTCATCCTCCACCAATTTCGATTACTTCCATTACGCATATGCTTTCTCAATTTTCACTCCGAACGCCGTTGTAGACAAAACACTTTCTCCTTCTTATCAACGTTTCTACTCCTCATCGGCAGCGCCCTCTCCTTCTCCCTCATCGGACTCCGTTTTAAAGCTAGGGTTTCTCGCTAACAAATCTGATGCCTTTCGGCCTTTAACTTTCAAAGCTAGTGATGCGATCCAGCTGGTTCGTTACTACGGTCGGTGTTACTGGGAGCTCTCCAAGGCTCGTCTCAGGTCAAACCTCAGTTAAGATTTTTAGGCAAATTTTGAAGGTTTGATTAAAAAAGTTGACTCTTTTTTGTTGGTTCGATTTATTAGTATGCTGGTGGTGGCGACTTCGGGGACTGGATATGTGCTAGGGAGTGGAAACGCCGTTGATTTGGCGGGTCTTTGTTGTACTTGTGCTGGAACCATGATGGTTGCTGCTTCGGCTAATTCGTTGAATCAGGTTGTCTTTTAAATATTTGATTGTTTTCATTGAATGCTTTGTCATGCACAATTTTAGAATGCTAACTAATAGGTTATTTGTCATGCACAATCTTTTAAATCTTTTCTTGAGGAGTTAAGGGTTCTTAGATATTTTGATAAAATTATTCTTTCTTAGATATTCGGAAGTATGTTTTGTAAAGAAATGTGAAAAAATTGGAGAAAAGCATTATTATTCTTGAGGTTTGCCTTTCATGTAATTCTTTCATAACAAAAGATGCACCTTTTAGGTGCAAAAGCTTGCACTTTTGTAAAGGGCCTTATGTTTTGACATTCTTTTTTCTTTCCTTTTTATTAACCTTGGTAGAAACTAGGGTACAGACATAGCTTTTAGGTGCAAAAGCTCATTGGTTATGATTTAAATCCATCGACATAGCTTTCTTGATGGAAGGGATAGATAAGTACCCTGGCAAAAGGGGATAGGGAAAGAAACAATTATAAATTATTTGATATTCTAGGAATCAAATTCATGACTTGCAAATTGTAATTTCTTCTTACCTTCTTTCTTGAACACTATGTTTTTCTTGCATTTGAGTTGGTCAATGTTGCAAGGATGTGACAGCATGGTGGTTGTATTTTAAGTTACTTTCCTGAATTAACTAGATAGACTGACATTTCAGTTAACCAATGGTATTCATGCCTCTAGGTTTTTGAGATAAATAATGATGCAAAAATGAAGCGAACAAAGCTAAGACCTCTACCTTCAGGACGCATTACAATGCCACATGCTGTCACTTGGGCATCTTCTGTTGGACTTGCTGGCACTGCTCTGTTGGCGTGCAAGGTGGCCAGATCAATTCACTCACTTTTCTTTATTTCTTTAATTTCAAAATGTGATATTTTTAGCTTCACCCAATGCTTAAAATGATGTCAGCTGAGTGACTAATGTTGCTGCTGCCACAAGGTTATTGCAGGCTAATATGTTGGCAGCTGGCCTTGCAGCTTCCAATCTTGTTTTATACGCATTTGTGTATACTCCATTGAAGCAGATTCACCCTGTTAATACATGGGTTGGAGCTATTGTTGGTGCTATTCCTCCTCTTCTAGGGTAACTTTGTCCTCATTCTATTAATTATTGTGATGACTATCTAAGAAATTTTACTTTTCTAGTTGCTCATTTTTATGTTTGGTATGGTAGTTAACCATGTCATGTTTCATGCCTGTTAAATTTTGTGTGCTAGACAAAAAAATTGGAACTAAAATTTATTGTATATAACTCCAGCAGTATGCTATGCATATTATGCGTACTTGCCTGATGTTGTGTATATTTTTTTATCTTCTTCTCCTCCTCTTCTTCCTCTTCCTTTTCCTCTTTGTCTTGAAATGAAAGATAAAAGAATAGATGGTCCCCAAATGATGTGGAATCTCTCTTGTAGATTTAATTCATATATGTACCACATGTCGAGAGGTTATAGAGGAAGAGGACCCTATATAAGTTTGATTTGAGTTGCTTTGAAACTATTGAGGTCATTTATTTATTTATTTATTTATTTTCTGTTCTGACTTTTTAGATGGGCCGCTGCTTCTGGTCAGATTTCTCTCAATGGATTAATTCTTCCAGCAGCTCTCTACTTTTGGCAAATACCCCATTTTATGGCACTAGCATACTTGTGTCGTGATGACTATGCTGCAGGAGGGTAAGCTTTTTTTACTACTTTTCCCCTTCAACATAGCTACTGTTTTTTTTCTTCATGCACAGGAAATTGATCGTTTCTGTTTCTGCCTATCTCCTATAATCTTGTGTTGAAATTTGGGTTTGGCTTTGAGAAACGATTTTTAAGTATCTTCAATTCCGTTGATATAACTTAGAGAATGGCAGCATTACTTTTTTCCGAAATAATTATATATTTAGTTTATTATTCTCATATGAGTCATTAGGGTTTAGGGATGATTCTTCATGGATAAGATGTGAGATATGTCTGTGCCTTTGCGCGTGAATTGTCTGTTCTTGATGCATTTGATTAGGTCTTTCTTCCCCTCTCTTCACTTCGTTTTCTTTGTTTCCTTATATTTTCAGGTACAAGATGTTTTCACTTGCGGATGCTTCAGGTCAGAGAACGGCTGCCGTGGCTTTCAGGAACTGCCTATATCTTGTCCCTTTGGGGTTCATAGCCAATGACTGTAAGTTACCTTAATTCCAAACGTGAAACTTCACATTATCAGCTTTTCTAGTTGTCCTCATTTATATTTATTAAATTTTAACACTTTATGATTCAGTACTATATTCACAATTGTAGAACATTGGATATGAACAAAAAATCTATTTCATAAGCATTCTTAAAATTTTCTGTATAAAGTATAAACCATCTTAAATAGTTCTATAATGTGTGTTAAGATCCGTATGGACTATTATATCTTATTTTCCACTTGTATTTCTTTATATATCAACCAGTGAAATTCTTTGTGTAGGGGGTGTTGCTTCTGGTTGGTTTTGTCTTGAATCATCACTCATCACCCTAGCAATAAGTGCTGCAGCATTTTCATTTTATCGTGACCGGACTACTCAAAAAGCAAGAAGGATGTTTTATGCCAGCCTTCTGTATCTTCCAGTATTTATGTCTGGCCTCCTATTTCATCGTCTCTACGATGATCAGCAGAGCGTCGTGGGAAATCCCAACAGAATAGTGGAGCTTTTATCATTCCCAGAAGAGGTCACTGCAAATGGAAAAGATGATCGAAAGAAAAAATCGAGGTATGTCACTGCCAGTCCACAAGGACACCCACCTGTAGCATATGCATCCATCGCTCCATTTCCCTTTCTTCCCGCCCCTTCATATGTTGATCAATGATGTATCGAACCGGCATCTAGTTTTGTACCAAATCAAAGTTATCAGAAAGACACACCATGAAACCTCTTCCATTCTCCATTAAGCCGTTTTCTCCGAAGTTCTGATTTTAACACAGTTTTTGGTTCTCGATTATATTTTTTTATTCTGAAATCAATGTAATTGGGATTGGGCTGTTTATGCACTACGAGTGACTTCAATCGTGCAGGCTGCCATTGGAATAAATGTGTTATGCATCGATCCATTGCAACATCTTAATAAACTTTTGATTTGGTTTTGAAGTTGTTGTCATACACTTAGCCGTTCCTGTTTTGATCTTCCAACACTTTTAGCCAAACTGGTCTGCGAGGCAATGCATTATGGTGGTAAATATTAGATGGGGGATAAATCAACTTCCGTCTCTAAATTCGATAGCTTTGTTTTAGCTTATGTTAGTCCATGAAATTGGCATTTTTTTATGTGGTATATTAAGATTATGTCATGTGACATATTGAGAGTGTCATATCATTAAAAAGAATAAAAATTGATTCGAGTGTCATATTACTAAAAGGATTAAAAACATTTCAAAAATTCAGGTTTAAAGACCAGTGGGAATTAGATAAAGTTTAGCGATTAAGTTGAGATAAATAGTAAAGTTTAAATCGAAAATGCTATGTTATTTAGGGGAATACAATTCCTTGCTAACCAAAGGAAACAGATTTGTTTGTAGAGGATGGATTAGGCTTAATACAAACATTGAATTCATTAAACGAACTGCATGTAAATTACATATAGTACATAGGTTTTGTCTTTGATATAAAAACATATGTATCTAAACTTGATTTAATCCGGTTAAAATGATCCGAAACCTGAATGACCCAACGAGTCAGACAAACTGAATTGGATTGGTTATGACACGATCGCACAATCTAAACAGGATCAGACTTGTTGGACTTGACTTGAATCAGAATATGATCCAACCCGAAACCGACTTGATCTGACAAGTTCACAACCTAGAGTAAAATCTAAACCATCAGATCATAGGAGGATAATGTTGAGACATCTTTCATCAAATGCAAGCCTGAAAACCGTCTAAGTTCAACCCAGTCCTAGTTCTATAGAAGGCAGTGTAGTTCACTGCTCATCAGCCAAGAAAAGGGAATCAAATCCCTGATTTTGCCCCCCAATCTCATTTGATAAGCTGTTTGTTAATTCCGATGCCCAAGTTTGAACCAAAAAAAAAAAAGCAGCAGCAGCTCGTATCCGACCAAAATTCTCTATCTATTCAAAAAGCAACTTAACGACAGCTAAAATATCTGATTACTCAAGTTACACCAAATGAAGATGGTCTTGAATCATGACATCTATAATAGTTGCAATCTACCATACATCCAAGAATCGAATTATGACAGAGACACCAATACTCCTTGTATGGGATACACAACCATGGCATTGTTGAAGGCAATGTGGCTCCCAAAGTAGATGCACCTCTGGAAAGATAACACAAATTTAAGTCTAGACTATAATGTGAAAGCACGGACGAAAGATAACAGGAAAATATAATAAATCAACTTGTTACCACTAAGAAGTCCAAACACTGATGCAGAAATATATGATCGAGATACTCCTGAAAAAGCTTTTCTGTAATGTGTTAAGACAATTTGTCCTGTAAGGTTTATCCCACAATGCTTAGCTTACTGGCAATTTCAATGAAACCCAAGCACAAACAAAGAACTAAAACTTAAAGACCATACTAATTTCGATGAGAATAGGAAGAATATTAACTGTGTCGTTTTCAGTTGCCAGATAAAATATTATGGAAAAGAGAAATAAAAAGATTTAGCTTATTGCATCATGTGAAAAATAGTTTTTTACACCTATGAAAGCAGTGAGAATCCTAGATGGAGAAATAACCACTTCCCATGCATTAGGCCTATTATTCTTCTTAAATGGTGTATGCTAAGATTTTTCTTAAGAATTGTCAATTATGATCTAGATTATCTCAAGAAAATCAAGTTTCAAAGAACAATTGATCCAGGCCTCACCTATGCTCAAATAATTGCTGTGGAGAATTGAAATCAAAACGCTAGATACCATTCTATCTAAATCCTCTTTTTGTGGCGCCTCATCAACTGGCAAACCATTTCTATCCCTATAAGCACTACAGGGAGAATGACTGCTATTATTGTGATAGGCTATGATTTCAAACCATATCCCCAATGGAAATCTTCTAGGTTTTAGCAACCGAAGGGCAATTTTAATATAAGGAGTAGCATGGACGGATATGATGACTTCAATGAACATACAGCTAAGGCTAATGGTTGTGTTCATAATGCTGAAGAAAATATAGAAAACAGATGTGGTTGGCAATAGAAGCAAGAGAGGTGTAAGTAGAAGAGATCCAACAACATGTTGCTTCACCGTATAGTCAAAGCTATCTAGTCTTTGACGAAGAGGATTCCACTTCCTTCCCCTGCCAATAATACAGAAGCTCTTAGAACAGCTTGAAACAACTAAATAAATTTATTGATAGAGTACTACTAATAAAAAATGATAACTTTGCATGCCTTTCAAATTATATCATAGCTAAAGCTGTTGGGCAATAACAGATGCATGACAAAATAATGGCATTGATATTATCTGGGTATATAACAATTGAAAAACACTAGCCTTTAAGAGAATTGGATCCCTTCTTCAAGCAACCAGTAATTTACACTGAAACAGAAATCTAGACAAAATGATACGAGGAAACACATTGATTGGGATGGAATATCATGAGCTCGTGAGATGGTATGGTATGTTCTCCCAGAACATGAAAAAGAAATCTTCTCACGAGCAATTTTCCCCTCTCTGAAATAGGATCTACGGACATCTCATTCATATTTCAGCGGTACCAGATGTGGAGATCATTTTTTGTTGGACCTGGAATAATCTACAAATATGTTCTATCTAGTTTATGAGTTTTTGTTGCACCACTGTACACAAAAAAGGGCTTCGGAAGCTCCCAAAATCAATCAGTGCCAGATTTAATACTTCTATGGAAAGAATCAAAGTGACCTCCTAACTAGTTCCACTGCATGTTAGCAATAACCCTAGATGACACAGATGTTACTACTATATTTTTAATATAACACCACAGCCAAAATGATTTTAGTTTATAACAAAAAAAAAACAGATTAGAGGAGCCAACCAAATCCAAGATAAGGAATGCTGAAATGGTACCTGAAAATACGCCACAAAGCTGCTAGCGCATGTAACTGCTGTGAATAGAGGATCGAGATTAACCAATGAAGTGTTGACACATGCAATGTTACTATCGCAATAATGTCTATGACCAAAGCAACAGGTATTGTCACCCCAAAAAGAATAGCTAATATAGCAAGTCCTTTGATGAAATAAATGAAGAGAGAACCCACAAAAATCCAAGGAGACTTGAAAACAGCCGGGACACCCATCAACCACACAGAACCTGACCTCAACAACCCATTTGTTAAATCACTGGAAAAAATTTGAAACCAATGAACAGACAGATTCTGTGTGAAATAAGAGTGCCAAACCAATCAAATCTCCCAAAAGGGTATCAACAACCAAACTTGACCACAAGGAATGCTTATGTAATGCAACTTTTTCTGCACACTCCACACTTGTTTGAGACCTAATAAAAAACATTAGATTATATTATATGTCAGGATAATGAGGGGAGGCATAACAGGCGTTGTTCTAAAACTTAATATAGAAAAACATGCCTCAGCTCAACATGGACTGAGAACTTCATATATAACTCAATGAATTCATTATATTCTACGGAATTTCCACCTGAGGTCATTGTCTTTCAGAAAGATCGGCCAATAAAAGATCTGACAACAACGAATTCGGAAATTTATCCAGGTATTGCTAAATGCCTTTGCTGATGAAGAGTATATCCATGATTGTGATTCAAAATTCACAAAGCTATGGAAAAATTGAAGAAAAATATAAAAAATAGTAGATAATGATGCCAATGACATGGCCAATATATGCCACATGAAGGTACAAGACCTGCAAAGCCACGTAATGGTACATAAGAAAATGGAGAGAGATACACGGCAAAAGCATGTGGTAAATCAAGTTAGAATGAGATTACATGGAAACAATGGGAATATTTGCAGGGAATTGCTTGAAGCTATCATGTCTCTCAAAAATATTCTGAGCTGCAGAAGCATTGTTGATCGCCAAAACAACTGTATCCTGCTTTCAAAAATTTTAGAATTAAAACACACACACACACACATAAATATAAAAGCTGCTCTAACTCCACCAAAAGGTTCTCGTGAACTGTTTATACCATGTCATTTAAAGGCTGCTTTTGTTGAAGCTCATCAACCCACTGAAGCTTCTTAAGAGAAGCTTTCTCATGCTCACAAGAATTCCAGTTTCGTAATGAGAAATGGTGAACACCATAAATTGGGGTCTCATATAATATAACCTAAACTTGTTCAGAAAGAAAGAGCCATGGGTTAATCACCATTGACAAATACAACTAAAATGATAAACCAAACAGTAGAAGCAATCTGAATTTCGTACATGGACATCACACTGAGACACTATTTCCCTCTTCCAATGAAGATGATGCAATTTAGGAACCCAATGAATTCCCTTGGCTTGAAGACGAAGAGAATCATATGCCAGCTCAATCCAGTAACTACTTTCTTTAGATGTCTGTCTACGCTGGCCTAATATCCCATCAAATTTAAGGCATCCACGGCTCCTTCGTCCAGAGCATTCACTAACTCCATCTACACCGTGAGCGCAGGAGTTTCTCAAATCATCCTCTTCTACTCCCTTTTGACCATATCTGAGACAAGCTCTATACTGACCCAACAAAGAAAATTTTGATTTATCTTGAAGAGATACATGCATATTTCCATTGATAGAATGGAGGATCTCCTGTTTTCAAGAAAAAAAATCAGACAGTTTCAAATAAACTCCTGGATTAAAACCATGTCCAAATGCCAAACAAGCTCAGCAAGATAACTGTTCCAGAACACATGAATCAATTTTGTTTCTTTAATTCAAAGTACCCTATATCCTAAGCAAAATTACAATTCATGCTTAAACATCTTAAAAATAATAATAATGGAAAAATCAGTGCATTGCCTGAAGCATTACAAGCTCAGAAAAAAAATTAACTTCAAAAACACAACAACTTATTCCGTATCTTCAATTTCGAAGTACCTTTTTTCCCTAAGCAATTGTAATTCATAAAATCTTTACAAAATGATACCATAATTAGTGGTTTGCCTGAAGAATTGCAACCTGAGAAGGAAATAACTTCAAAAACACAAAAACTAATTACATTTCTTCAATTTCTAAGTGCTCTTTTCCCCTAAGCATTATAATCCATAAAATGAAATCAGAACGAGTGCTTTACCTGAAGCAATACAAACTCAGCAAGAAATTACTACAAAAACACACCAGCTAATTCCATTTCTTCAATTTCTAAGTGCCCCTTTTCCCTAAGCAATTATAATTCAAAAAATCTTCGCAAAATGGCATCAGAAATTACTGCATTACCTGGAGACCAGATTGCAGATTCGAAGAAGACTCGTGATTGGAAGCGAAAGCGACGACAATATCAAGAGAATCCGAAGAGCAAGTCACGAACCAACCAAACAGGAATTCACTGCAAGATGGTTGTGTTGAAGATAGCTGATTTGGCCACCAAATCCGACACTTTCTTCTCATTTTTCAATCAAATTTTTCACCTAGAATTTCCCTCGAATTGCAATGTTTTTACTCTAAACCCTTCGAGAAATCTTAAGATCAGATTAAGTTTAAAGATTAAAGTGTTAATTCCGTCCATTTTCAGTTAGTTTCCTTCATCCCCCGGGCGGGTTAGAAATCCTATTTCTATTTTTCTAAATATTTTTAAACAAAAAGAAATGGAAAAAAATGTTCATGTTTACCATATTAAAAAAAATATACAAGTGTTGAACTGAAATGGCGCAGATAAGGAAATGCTCTAGGTGCAAGTTAGCAGGTCTAATGGCGCCCGAATTTCCTGTTGATTCTCCGACTGCCGTTCTCCGTTTTCATCCCTCACTTTCTGTTGCTGGGTTTTCTCTTTTTCCATTTCATTCTCCAAATGGATTGGAAAAACTTTTCAAAGTTTTTGAATCCCAATATCTAGTTTTCTTTCCCCCAAATGTCCGTGATGAAAACTCGATTGTCCATCCTCCCCCAGAAATCTTTGATGCTGGAATTTCCGCGTGGAATCTATCCCTGGTGGGTCAATTTCTTGGAGTCTCACCCAGCTTCATCTCCTTGCAAAGAATAGTCGAAAATGTCTGGAGTAAAGCTCTGCTGGGTTCGCAAGTAAAGGTTAGTACAATCTGTTTATTTTCTCGTTTGATAGTGAATCTACTAGAGATTAGGTTCTTAATAACGGTCCATGGCACATTCATAACAAAACCTTTATTCTTCGTAATTGGGAACCTAACTTGAAGACCTTAAATTCCGACTTAACAAAAATTACAGTATGGGTTCATCTCTTCAATGTTCCCTTAGAACTCTTTACTCGATTAGGCCTTAGTTACATTTCTAGTGCTATTGGAGTACCACTATCAATGGATACTATCACTGCTGTTAAGGCTAGGCTTGAATTTGCGAAAGTCTGCATTGAAATAGGAATTAATGACTTCATTCCAAAGTTCATTGAAGTTGAACTTAAAAACGGCCAAAAAAACCTAGATCAAGATTGAGGTTCCTTGGATCCCACCTTCATGTAAGAAATGCAAGGTGTTTGGTCATAATGACAAGGATTGCCTGCACAATTCAACTGTTATACTTGTTGTTTCTCAAGTCTGAAAAAAGAATGAAGTTTCTTCTTCTATTTCGACAGTAATCCACATAGGTGGTATAGAAGCTGTACATGAACCTTCTAATTATGTTAATACTGAAGCTGATGGTAATATTCAGAAAGAGGCTCCACAAGTTATTTCTTCTAACTCCTTAGAACACTCAGTTCCTACTGCTGTTGAAGTTCCACATTCTGTGCTCCAAAAAGTTGACAAGGTTGTGGACTTATCAATTAACTTTGTTGTTGGTAATGAAACTTCAACCCTTCAGACTGCTGTAACTCATAATTCCAGTTTACCTGCTGAAAATTCAATTTGTTTGACTGCGGGAGATTACATTACCAATATTCCTTCTTCAAAAGCTCAAACATCTGCCCAGGCTATTTTAGAATTGGTTAGTGAAAAAGCTTCTCAACCAGAAACAACTAAGAGAGGTAGAGGAAGGCCTAAAAATGATATTGAAAAGGGTTCCTTCTTAAGTTCTAGTAACGAATTTGAAGTGCTCAACTCTGTTGAGGATTCTCCTACTATAGATGTTCCACTAAGGA